TATGCTGTCAAAAGAAAGAAAAAATCACTTTTAAGGAAAACTAGATTCACTAGAAAAAGAAAAGTGGTCTGTTATCAGTAACGACTGAGTAAGAGAAAACATCTTAAGTGAGCTGAAAGGAATTCTCAGCTGAGGCAACTGAACCTAGTAAAATTATCCCCCAAGAAAGAGCATCAAACGTGAACACTGTAAAGATAAACTAGAAGTGCGATCACTCGCCATCACCAGCCACTATATAAAAAGGCAGTCTAAAGAAAGCACTACGACAGAAAGCGGGTACCTCTGCTGCTAAGATGCAAGAATGCCCGTCACTCACGGCTGCCTTGTGGTGTGCGTGTGTGCACACATCCCAAACAACACTGTCTTCAAATGGTGGGGATGCAAGGAAAATTGAAATAGGGGTTGTACTGCTTGGGAGGTGAAGGTACTGAGTAACTCAGACATGTCGTTTCTAGGGTAACCACTTCATAGAAACTGGGTGGATGATCTGTAAATGACAGATAATGAACACACTGACTAAGAAAATCATCGAGAAGCACAGATGTCTGCCCTGCTTTATGCCTTTCTCCTACTGTATGTCGCAGTACATCTAGTCTTATACATATAAAAAATACCCTTTTTAAAAAGCGAGAAGGCTGCACCTCACTGCCCTTGTCACCTTCTTTACGTTTTAGATGAATGTGTGCACGCATGTGTTTATGGGCTAAGGATGTAACTCAGGTGACAGCCTGCTTCCTTAGCACACATCAAGTCTTCGTGTGGATGGAACGGTGGCATAAGTCTATAATCTCAGCACTTTTGGATTAGAAATTCAACGTCATTCTTGGCTTCATAGTGAGTCTGAGGTCAGCCTGGGATACCTAGGTCCTGTCTGCAAACAAACAACCCAAAATAGCTTCTTATAACTGGTTTTCTTTGGCTCATGGGGCAAGTTCATAGTTACATGTATATCTCCCCTTCGCCCCCTGCCCCCGAGACAGGATTTCTCTGTGTAGCCCTGGCTGTCCTGGACTTGATTTGTAGACCAGGCTGGCCTTGAATCCACAGAGATCCGCCTGCCTCTGCCTCCCCGAGTGCTGGGATTACAGATGTACACCACCACACCTGGCTTATAAATCTTATCTTTTGTGCCTAGTGTTTAATGTAGATGCATTAAGGGACTGTTGTATCATATGACCTGGGTTAACAAGCATTATTTTGTGATCTAGCACAAGGGTTGGCAAACTCCAGGATATGGGGACAATTTAGCCCACAGACTGTATTTCGTACTAACAAAATTAGAATGGTACTCACAGTCTTAAAGAATTGATTCAAAAGAAATAAACAACAATAACAAAAAAAACAAACAAACAAAAAAAAAACGACAGAAATTATATGTGGCCAATAGTGCAAAATACTTATAATTTGCTGCTCTATTGTAATTTGCTAATTTATTACATGATCAGTTCTTTTTTTTTAAAACCTTTAATTTCTGTGTGTGTGTGTGTGTCTCTGTGCGCGCGCGTGCGTGCGCACATGTATGCCTGTGGCAGCCAGAGGTTGCCATCAGTGTCTTGCTCAATCATGCTTCACTTTATTTTCTGGACAGGTTTCGCACTGACCCTGGAGCTCACCATTCAGCTGTACTGGTGAGTTAGGGAGCTAAGGAATGAGTTGGCCCCTGACCTCCACATGGGTGCTGTGATTTGCACTCTCTCCCTCACCCCCAAAAGAAGCAATACAACAGAGCATACATTTCTTTTTGACCAAATACTCTCAGTCACATGAACATCAGTCAAACTGATAACGTGTATTTGCATGCTTCACAATTCTTTCTAGTCATGTGCAATGATATTTACTAATATGATCTTTTCTTCTCCCCTGCACATAAGCAAATGTTGGTTTACACTGCTCATCTCTATGACAGAACCCAGAGAGCTGGGGATCTAGCTCAGCTCTGAACGAACCTCTGGTATGTTAGGTTGATTCTACCTGGTTGTCTTTACTTACGGAACTTGTAATTAGGAGGCTGAAATAAGAAAGACAACTTCCTCCTTGCCAGTGCCTGCTCAACTCAAATCTGATTCTCAATGTCCATACTTGGTCAAGACTTTTTCTTTTAGTTTTTCTAGTGTGTTATTGAATTTCCCTTAATCTCATGTACAAGGCATTGGAGATATAATACTCTCTGGGCCCTAGAAACAAACTTAGAAATGTGGTAAGTGGTGCCAGTGGGGTATGACACAGAAGCTTCGATATAGGAAGAAGCATGTGCACCGAGGCTGGGGGACCACAGTTTTGGCTAGATGAGGGCGGTGAGGGAATCTTGGGAAGAGAATGGTACTTGTGGGGCTGCACAGAGGTCTCGGCATGGGAGGGTGGCGGGCTTCACAAACTGCACAAAGAGTGCACTGCTCTTCTAGCAGACAACATGACGCTTTTTGACAGGGATGCGACACGATGAAATCTGAATGCAGAGCCAACAGTCTAAATGTAGAAAGAGGAAAGAAGTGGGTATGGGGTTAGAAGACAAAAAGAAAGTAGTACATAGAAAGCTATTCTTGTTTTCAAAGAAATGAGAATCTGAACCAAACAGGGGAAGCCATAGAAGAAAGAGACTTTTGATAAACATCAGCCAATTCCAGTGGGAAAAATAGCCATCACTCAAAAGCAAAGGCTGAAAAGTCAAGAATAATTTCTGGGAGAAATGAGGATGCTATGAAGGCTGTGTTAAGGAAAACAGAGAGGAAGACACTGATTTGAAAACAACAACAAACCTAATGAAGCAGAGGTACCAGCTGAGCAACTAACTTCAGGGGCTGAGAAAAAGAAAAAGAGCTTTCTGTTTTGTGGCTTGAGCCAATGGGTAGGATGTGGACCAACCAAAACGGGAAATACAAAGATGGACTTAGGGAGAAACTTAAGCTTTTAGCACACCATATAAAAGGGGTCCAAGAGCCATCTGGATGAGATTTTTTTTTTTTTTTTTTAATTAGGATCTAAGCTGGCAAGGAATTTAAGAGAGGGGTTTTTACCAGGATTGCGTATGTATTTGGTACAGCTAAAATTGCTTTACATTTTTGAAAACTGGTCACTAAAGCTATTTGAAAGATGAGTAAGAATTGGCTCAGAGCTCTCCAGTGATGTATCCAAGGTGGCCATGTGGGTAAGTGCTAGAGGTAGATATGAATAACACTGGAATCTTGATTCATGCCTATGCAACCTCTTCACACTGGCCACCTGTGAGCCATGGAAGCACAAAGTGTGATTAAAAATATGAGAGAATATGTGGACTGAAACTTGAAGTAAGAGCATAGACCCAGGAAACACTAATGCTGAAAGTGTTGGCAGAAAAACAGGGAGCCCAAAGGCTGAGGATAGCTCAGTTGAAGTCAGAGGGGGAAAAGGAATTATAACAGTGTTACCTGATGCAGAGATTCAAGTCAGATGGAAGAACCTGATAAATGGACGGCCTAGGATATCATTCCCATCAAGTATCAAGCAGTTAATAAAGAAGCCAAGGCTAGACTGCACTGAGGTTTGGGTGGGGGGCACAAAGACGGGAAGAACACACAGTACCCAAAGTTGACTGTCTAAGGAACAGACTGAGGAGGCTGCTGAAAAGTCCTAAGTCGGGAGAGCTCTGTTTTGTTCTAAAGATAGAATTCCCAGCATTCTTTCATGCCAGATGTCCTTATAAAAAAAGTAACATTTCATAAATGACTCATCAAAACCTGTAAATGACTTAAGACACAAACAAGACCCAGGGAAATCTTAGGAAGAAATTTTTGTAGTTTGTTTCTTCACACTGAGCTTCTGATCATCTGCACAGGGCTGACTACTGATTGATGCTCTCATTAGGTTCAAGACACACCAAGTCTTCACCTAAGCTTGCAAAGCCTTGCTTTAGCTTAAGTAGTTTCTCTTTCTTTGAACTAACGAACTAACTTCCTTCCTTCCTTCCTTCCTTCCTTCCTTCCTTCCTTCCTCCCTCCCTCCCTCCTTCCTTCCTTCCTTTTTTGTTTTGTTTTTGGAGATATGGTTTCTCTGTGTAACAGAGCCCTGGCTGTCCTGGACAGACCAGGCTGCCTTGAATTCACAGAGATCTGCCTACCTCTGCTTCCCAGGTGCTGGCATTAAAGGAGTAGGCTGGCAAGACAGGAGACTTCTATGAAATTCTTTCTTTCAATCTACAAGAATCATACGTCTACCTTATTCTTTCCCATGGTTACTTTTCCCCTCCCAGTCTTCAATCCAACTGTAACCACTTTATTTGTGTACACGTAAGTGGTTGCTTCACCCACTAGAATTATTCCAGGATACACTATGATAGCAAACATGTTCTGGGTGTTGGCCTTTCTGGCTCCGGACCTGTTGTTACTGGAAAATAATACACGGTTGATAAAGAACTATATGGCTGGGTTTTCCCCTTTATCAACTTCTTTAATTGGATTCATGTCTCCTCTTTCTAATGTCCCTTTCCCACTCATTGTATTAACATATAGAATCATAATATCTAACATGTATTGTCCTTTCGCTAGGTGTTAGGCTCTGCTTACAATTTCACTTAATCTTTACAATAACTTCCCAATAAATATGTAAGTTTTTATACAACCATCTACAGTTGTACAAGTGTAAGTTGTGTAATTTGCAAGTGGTGACGCCAGGATTTCAGACGGTTCCTCTAAACAAGAGTTGCCTGTTCAGGGCTCACTTTTAGTAAGGGCACAAATTCCAGTTAGAAAGTCCTGATCCAGTTTTACCTATGTTCAGAACCTACATCTGCTCCAACAAAGCTACGTCCTAGTACAAATTCAAACTTTTCCTCCCCTCGGACTACTTTCATCCGATGGAGAAACGAAGGACTGCCCGGTAAGTCCAATCGTCGAGGAGGGTGTAGGGAGAGATGTAAACGCCAGTACCTCACTTCTCAGCGCCGAGGTAAACCAGCATCTAACTGGAGATGGGGGATTTGGGAGCTGAAACCAATTTCCGAACTCATGAATGGCCAAAACACTTACCTTAACTGCCACCTCCGGAGCCGAGTCCACCGCCACGGTCAGAGAGGGCTTGGCTGAAGGCGATTTGGTCAAGTGCATGAGAGAGTCCGCGGCTGGCAGCGGACACCGGCTGCCCTCACTGTCCGAGTCTGATTCGGATCCCGAACCCGAACCATACGAAGCAGCTAGAGCAGCAATCGCAGCCGACATGACAGCAACAGATCCGCTCTGCTACGGCCAGGCCAGGGCGGAAGAAGCAGCGCCGCGCAGGTCCTGACAGATTGTCACGAAACACGTTATTTACCTCCTTTGAGAACGAATCACTTATAACTTCTAGAAAAAAAAACTTAACTATTATTACAGTAACTGTATCGAACTTGAGATCCGCAGACATTCATCTAGAGAAGCCCAAGGAATTGCAACTACTTATAACTTTCAGGACCTCGTCGATTAAAGACCCAGTTCTGAGATAGCTTTGAATCCTCGAGGTCCTCCACTCCCGGCGTGCAGCGCGGCGGGGAACGGGAGGCACCATGGGAAATGTAGTTTGGGCTGAGGAGGCGGAGCCCGGCCGAGGGTGGGGGCTCTGCCTTCGACCCCGCCCCCAAAAGGATGGTTCATTCAATTGGATAGCATCTTCCCTCATTCCCTGGCCCAGCTCGGTTCTCTCCGGCCCCTTCCCCCAAAGTGCGGATTGGGCAATACCACGGAGCCTCAGGACAGGGGGAAGCGCCGTCCTCTTGCCCACGGACCGGTAAGTGGGCGGATGCTAAAGCTCCCGCCACACCGCCGGACGCCCTGCGGGGCTCTAGGGGAGGGTGTGCATCTGAGGCGTAGAGACCTGGGAGCCGTGCGGCGCGGCTTCGGAGAGAAGCGGTGCGGCCGGGCCGAGAGCGCCCCGCGGCTCCCCCTGCTGCAGGCCCGGGTCCCCGCGCCCGCTTGTGGAGCGTCGCGCGGGGAGGGGGCGGCGCAGGGCAGCGGCGGCTCGCGGTGTTGTTCGCTCGCGCGACGCGCGCACCGCGGCTCGGGCGACCAGCGGGCGCCCCCGGCGGCGTCCCCGGCGGCCCGGCGGCCCCAGCCAGTGCCCGGAGCGCCTTCCAGCCCGCGGCCCGACCCTCCCCCGGGGGCTCTCGGTGGAGTCCCGGCGAGGAGCCGGCCCGGCGGCGGCCGCCGAAGCATGAAGAAGGGGTAAGGCGCGAGCCTCCCCCACCCCCACGGCTTCACGGTGAGCACGGGTTTTTGTCCTTTTTTTTCCGTCCCGGCGCTGCACCGGCCGGAGCGGAGAGGGGCGCGTGCGAGCCCGGCTCTCTGCGGCGGCCGCGGCGATGGCTGGGCGCGCCGCCCCCGCCCCCATCCCGGGCTCCCCCGCGCCCGCCGCCCCGGCCGCGCGGGGAGGACGAGGCGCGGGGACCGAGCCGAGGATGCTCTCGGGTGCAGCGGCTTCCACCTGCCGTGCGGGGCTCGGGGCTCCGGTCGCCCCGGTGCCCGCGAAGGCTGCAGCCCGCCGCGCAGCCCCGGCTCGCCCTGCGGGCCAGCCGCTCTGAAAGCCGAGCTCCGGCCGCGCGTCTGGGCGCCGCGGCTCGCTGTGCCCGACCGCGGTAAAGCGACCGGGGGCATCCCTTTATCGCCCCGTTTGGAAGCGGAGGCAGAGCGGTTGCCGGCTCGTCTCGTGCCAGGGAGTGGGGAGGCTCCTCGGGCAGAGTTGGGGAGCCGCTCGCTGGGCTCTGATGTCGGCAGGACTCGCCCATTGTGCCACCCAGATAATTATTCAACTCTGCAGCATCCATTGCACCTTTCCCGTTTTTCTTTTCCCCTAGCTACAGCATGCCCCCTAGCTTCCGTACTCTGACACCTTCTCCTGCACTTGCGGATGATGAACTAGAATAATGGTGAAAAGAAAGCGCATCCGATCTGAACGTTCACCGACCTGCCCTGTGACTAATTAATACCCACTTAGAATAGGTCTGACTCCTCTAACCTTAGTCCTTACTATACAGGATGTGCCTGAGATTCTGTTCACATTTTTCTTGATGTCCACATATTGGCTAAGTCTCCTTTCTGTTAAGTAATCGATGTGGTTAGTTAATTAGTTGATTCCATTGATGTTTGTAGATTTAATCTGGTAAACTTCCATTTTTCTAATTGTTGACAGCAGCATAACACAGTTACAAATGCAATCCCTCTTGGAATTCGAAGGAACAGTTTATCCTTGATGATCTAAGTTTCTGATAAAGAATTTTTATTTGTTTTGAATATTTGGATAAAGTATTTAATACAACATTTTCTGTTCTTAGTAAGAAAAGTTTTGTACATATTTTTGTAGAATATTTGATACTAATAGTAACCTTTATTTGAGTAAAAGGAAGGATTTAATATTGGGAAGATCTTAACTCCCTAACTTACTGGGGTCTTAATTTTCCCTTAGCTATTTTTACAGTATATTTTTATTGCTAGTTATAGATTTTTCTCTTTATTTTTTTAACTCTTATCTACATGGATGAATAGATTGTTTTGAATGCTCTACCTTAAGGAAGAAATATATTTTTAAAAACACAAGAAATAAACATAGTTACTTACCATTTAAATATTATTATTTATAAACAAATTCTTACCTATCAGAAATATCTTTTTCTTTTTGTCATTCTTCCCATCTTTATGTGTTTAAGCTTGTTTTGTTAACCCTTTTGGTAAAAGCAGGATTACACACAGACAATGCAGGAGTTTGAAGGTGCTCCTAGTTATTTAATGGAACCTGTAAGCGGCATACATATAAATTGATAGCATAGAATCATTTATTTGGCTAGGGAAGACCTTACAATTTACAAAATGGACTTTGTTTTGTCTTGGTTTTCTAACATGTAAATGGAAACAATACTCTTCCACAAGATAGTATGCCTTAATTCAGAGAAGCTATTTTTTAGTATTTTTAAACCAACTTGAAGTATTTTTAATTGATGAATCATGAAAATGCTTCGTATGCTTTTTCATGGCACCTGAGAATGGCTGACTTACATTTTAGTTTGCTTTGGCAAGACTTCTTTAGCTTGATTTTATTTCTTGTGTTTTTTGTTTTTTAATTATAGACTTTATGCCTACATATAATAATTATAGTTAATACTGATTAAAATAGTTGGTATCAAGTAGACTATTAAGTTAAATTCGTGAAAAGTCTAGAAAACATTGAAGATCCTTTAATTTAAAAAATTTTGGTTAACATATTTCATAATTGTGATCACTTGTAAGATCCAGTGCAGGATAGCTTTATCACTTGGGTTCCTAAATGTCTGTATATTGAGAGAGTGCATTAGTATAGTTTAATGCTCGTTCATTTAATTTTAGAGTGATTTAAGATACCTTTCTCCAAAGGCTTGATCTTCAGTAGAGAGTATATTTGGTTTTTATTGAGAGATTAACTCCTTTATTTTTATAGCAATAACTGCTGTTGAAAGACTGTATTATAACAGCCTTTACTAAAATATTAGACTTTTGGTTACTTTGTGGGTGGAAGTCCTATATAATTCATTATATAGCTGATTTATTTTTTTGAGAATTAATTTGATTATGCTTTATCATGTTTTCTTTAAATATAAAGAGCTAAAATTTAGCTCTTTGGGTTTTTTTTGTTTTGTTTTGTTTTGCTTTTTGTTTGTTGGTTTGTTTTGAGCTTTGTGAGGACAGGAACTGACCTGCTATCCTGAAGCTTACTGTCACAAATCCTAAGGTGGTGGCAGAGCGGTAACAGATAGCAAAGGCGTCACCTACACTCAACAAACAGAAGGAATAAAGAAGGAATAGCCACCGAGTGCAAGATGTAGCAAACATCTCATTTAATAAAGCAGCTTCATCTCCAAAGAGAAGGATATGTTGGAGATTTTTTGGAACCTCTGTCTATAGTCCCTTTACTGCATGTTATTGAGCTAGCACTAGATGCTGAATGATGGAGATGTTGGCAGTCTACACGGAAGGAGAGTAATGATCTTGCGGCACACTTCCTGAAAATGGACGTGAACACTTCTGTTTCCAAAATTATCTTTCTTTGTGATTTCAGTTTGCCAGTGAAATCTTAATAAAAAAGATGTATATAAGTGAAGTCTTGTGCTTCTTTATGTAACAGGTTTTAAAAATAAATGACCTCAAGATAGAACTTCCTAAAATTAAGAATTGTGTGCTTTTATTTACTACATGTAGATTGTACAGGTTATAATTAAAATTTTTTCTCTCTCTTTTTGTTTCTTTTGTTGTTGTTTTTTTGTTGTTTTGTTTGTTTGTTTTCTTTTTCCTCAATCTCAGGATAAAATTCAGGGTCTTATGTGTGCCACACACTACTACTAAGCTACACTTCCTCCTCTTAATTGTGAATATTGAATTTTTATGAGTTGGTAGCCTTAACTTGTTTATTACATTTGAAAACGATACCGTGCTGTAGGACTTTACAGTAGTTCCTTTCCTCAATGCTGAGAAAGAATAAGAAATTTAACGAGAGCAGCTTACAGGAGGGGAACAATTGATTTCACTTAGTGTTTGAAGAAATACTGTCCATCAGTGTATGTGTGGGGTCGGGGCCCTGAGCCTGGAGGCAACTGACCACGTCGACAGTTGGGAACGAGAGAAGCACTGGTCTCTACTTAGTTTTTCTGCTTTATTCAGCCAGGATCTGAGCACATGGAATGAGTCACCAACATTCAGGGTGGGTCTCAGTTACCCATCTCTGGAAACCTCTGTCTCCTGGGTGATTCTTCGTCGAGGGATGTTTCTAGTAAAGATTAACTATCACACTTGGAACTTGTTTCCTCAGAAACTGCATGCTTGGTAATTAGACTCAATATCTACGGAAAGCTTACTTAACCCATTATATTCTGGAGCTACAGAATTATCCTAGTAATTAGAAAATTATAAAATTATGCTAACAGCTATATATTAACATATAAATATATCTTAAATACCTAATTCTGTTTACCAGTTCTTGCGTCTTGTTAACAATGATAGCATTATCGGGACTTGCCTTCTTTCATCCATGGAGCAGGAAGAGGAAGCTATTTCTTGGATTTCACGTTGCTTCGCCTCATATCCTATGAGGCAAGAAGTTAGGGATGTGAGAAATTGGAAGGGCGCAGGGGGTCTTGTGATTTTACTTCTCGGGGGCTTTGGTTTTGTTAGTTGTAACACCAAAAGGTTGAAGTAGAGGCTCCCTGCTGGACTCATCCCGAGAACAGAAGTCTAAAGTACTTGGA